TCTCTAAAGGATTCTTTTGAACTGGTTGATCATTTAGGTGATATTAATATCAAGGAAAAGACAATGTGTTCATTTGATGTAAATTCCTTGTTTACAAATGTACCCTTGAAAAAAACCATTGATATATTATGTGATTACATATCTGTAAACAATTTTCAATCATGTGTACCTGTAAAATTTCTTAAAGATTTACTATTATTATGTACTGACAAAGTTCAGTTCACTTTTGAAGGTGAATACCTTCGTCAGATTGATGGGGTTGCTATGGGTAGTCCATTATTAGCAGATGTGTTCATGGCACATGTTGAAAATCTGGCCGATGACCTAATCGGAAACATGTCACTTTATAAGAGATATGTGGACGATATCTTAGTTGTTTGTGAAAGAAAAGAGGATATGTACCGTTTATTAAATAAACTTAACATTCTCCAAAACCATATTAGTCTCTCATGTGAAGAGGAGAAAAACGATCAGCTTCCCTTATTAGATATACTTCTGAGTAGACGAGAAGATGGCTCAGTCAAGCGATCCATTTTTAGAAAACTAACATGGACAGGTCAATACCTTAGTTATTATAGTTATTGCCCTGTGCAATACACATGTGGTTTGATAAGCTGTCTTTTCAACAGGCTTGATCGTATTTGTACAAATGACGCCATTGATGATAATGCTAGGTTGCTAAATAAAACATTAATAGAAAATGGTTATCCTCTGAAATTCATAAATAGATGGAAAGTCCATGGTACAGTGAGACTTGGTAGCCTTGGTAGAAACAAAACCTGTCTACATCACCTTATCATTCAGAGGTGATTCCAATAGCCTTTTATTGAAACAGACTTAAATCAGTCATCAATAAAACGTATTGCGCAGCAAAGGTCATTATCAAAGAAAGAACAAGGTGCATGCTTCATCCAAAACCTAAAAGACATTAAAACGATTGTGTCACATCCCACTGTGTTTACCAATTTAAAGGGAGGAGCAATCGTGATCTAAACATTAGGGTGTGTGAACATGTACCAAAATGGCTGCAGAAACAAATACAATCAAGTGACCCAATAAGAGCAGAGGATAAATATCCATCATCCTCTATTGCTAAACATATAATTAAAGGTCATATAGGTGTAAAAATAAATATGGTGATATGATGAGTATTCACGAATAAAACAATGAGAATATAAGATATAAGTACAGGGGGGAATGCAGTAATAATAATAATAATAGAATAATCAAAATAATTAAGGCCAAGGTAACGATAACGATAAGACGTACTTCTTTTGTACGCGTAGTTCTGGTTTAAGCTCCTGGATGGCAAGAGCTTCGGCTATTTTTAACAGTTGGATACGAAGAAATCTGGGTAGATTTGAACGAATCATATAAACAACCTTAAATTCATTTTTTGGATCTGTGGAATGGTTACAGTCGATTAGGTGTTCAAGTATAGAACTCCTAACTGCTTTCCTTTCCCCCTTATGGAACCAAGCTGGAATATGTTCCCGTATCCGAGTTGAAAGCGAGCGCTGGCTACGGCCAATGTACCTTGCTCCACAAGAGCAGGTGAACTGGTAGATGCACATAGAGGCGACCAGACGCGGAAGCTTGTCTTTTATGGACACAGAAAATAAGTTCCTACTCGTGAAGGTTATTCGTAGTTTAGCTGCATTAAATGTTCTTCTAATAGTTGTTGTTAGACGATTTTTGATTACGTCTGATGTTCGATCACCTTTAAATTCCAGACTTATATAAAGGTTTTTCTTCGTAACGGAGCAACTAGGTTTCTTGTCATAACTACTTTTATTCATATTCTTTTCTATGAACCGTTCTGGGTAACCATTTTCCGTCAGGGTTTTCTTGAGGAATTCAAGTTCTTCGTTAATGTATTCCTTACTGCATATCTGATGTATTCGATAACATAAAGAGTGGATGAGTTTTCTCTTTCTACTTAACGGAACCCAGCTATAGAAGTTGGTTAGCTGTCCATTCCATGTTTGTTTTCTAAAGATGGATCTTTCTAAAGAACCATTACTCCTCATCAGACGTACATCGAGAAAATGAATTGATTGGTCCCGTCCCCTTTCTAACGTGAAGTCTATAGAAGGGTGGCATGAGTTAAAGGTGTGTAAAATATCCTCTAAATCAATATTATTGTCACAAACGATAAACGTGTCGTCCATATATCTGACGTATAGGTGAAATTGACTGATCATTGAGCTTAGTTAGTCGTTTTCTAGTTTTGCCATGAAACAATCTGCTAAAATCGGACCCAATGGAGACCCCATTGCGATCCCATCCCTCTATCTATATATTTCATTATTGAAACTAAACTGGACATTAAAAGTACAGCGTAACAATAGTTCTTTCAAGTGTTCAGTCGGCAAACTTAGATCTATGTTGTTGGAATCAATGTACTCACATATATAACATATCGTTTCGGTTAAAGGTACGCTAGTGAACAAAGAGTTAACGTCAAGCGATAACATGTGTTTTCCGGAAGTATTAACGTCCTTAATACGATCAATAAATTGAAAAGTATCATGAATAGAAAATTTAGATACTTGCCTTCTAACCGGTTCCAATATTTCCGCTAGCAATTTGGCGATTCTGTGGTATGGTGAATCGGACATATCCAAAATAGGTCGTAACGGTAAACCCGGCTTATGTACTTTCGGTAGTCCATATAAGCGCGGGATGATTGAACCCATGGGACGTATGTGATTATATAAATCTTGGGTTATTATCCCCTTATTCTTAAGAATTTTAACAACATCTGTTAGCTGTTCTTCGATTTGCAAAGTTTTATCAACTTCTTTAAGTTTGGAGAATTTAGTACCATCCTCGAGAATTAATTTCATTTTATCCAAATATTCTTGGCGGTCAAGTAGTACTACACCAGCTCCTTTGTCAGGTTTACTTAGGATCAAATCCTTATTTCTTTTCAGGAGTATTAGCTGATCCAAGTGGTTCTTAGTTAATACGTTATTCTTACTACATTGTGCATTAACGTATCCATGACTGCAGTCCACTAATGTGGATTTAAAGTGCTGAAATTTTTTTGGGGATGTTGGCACAAGATCATGAGTTTGATTTGATAGGTTTTCGAATTGTATTTGTGTATGAAGTCTACTAGTTTTGGAGGTGCTGTTACAGAACTTCGGACCCAATGATAAAGCCTGTATTTGGACTGGTGAAAGTTTATTAGAAGAATGATTAAATACATACTTTTCTGGATGTTCTGGAAACTTCTTAATCACGTCTACGTGTTGCAATGTTTCCAAGTGTTTACGTTTAGCTTTTTGTGACTGTTTTTCCGTAACATTAGTAACATAGTCCTCAAATTGTTTACGTTCATCTAACGACAATTCAAACAAGGTGTGACTTCTTAGAGATATGTTGCGATCTAGTTCGACTTTTCGAGATTTGATAGCATCGATATAATTGAGTGCATGACGTTTGAGTGTTTTTGCATTGGGATGAATATGGTTTCGCCTTAGTGGCTTCCAGAAACGTTTAGGATAATCATTATTTTCGATACAGCTTTCGAGAAAATTGATCTCACATTTCACTAACGCAAGCTTGACGGTGTAACGTTAGAACCCATTGAGCCCTTTCATCGTCATAAGGTCCTTGCATTTCTTCAATTGACAAATAGTTCTCATTTAAACATATAATTGAAACAGGCCGTAAGATTGATCTAAACTCGGCTTTTGTGGTGTTGTATAAAAGTGTAAAAGGGCGTATACTAAGGCTTATTGAAGCCTTAGCCATACGAAAATTCAAACCCCGCTTTGTGTATTCAAAAACAGTTTGTTCTTACCTTAAACCTACCTTAATAATATTGACTTATTATCCAGAGTGATCAGGTTTCGAATTGTGTTCACATTATTATTATTATTATCATTACTATTCTTCTTCTTATTATTATTACTCTTATTATTATACTTATCTCCTCTTACCCCATTTCCAGTCTAGTTGACCTTTTATATATATATATATATATATATATATATATATATATATATATATATATATGCTCTTAACAAGTATATGTGTGTTCAGATTGTTCGAAATGTATTGCGCTAATATATCACATAGTTCTGATAGTCTTCGTCTTCTCATTACATTATCAAAATTCATCAAAGGGACTGATTGCTTTAAAATACTCGATGAGATCCATTCTATCAGTCAGTCAGTCTTATGCAACGTAGAACCCAGTACATATGTGCACCGTACCGCATTATTAAACAGATGTTTGAGTAGTATAAGTAATAACTGTTAGTGGTAATTAAAAAGATTAAGCATAAATGTTATGATTTTAAAAATATATGGACTCATGGATAAAAGGCTTAAGAAACTGTGGCATTTGTATCAGCTGATGGTTCCTTAGTACTTGATTGCGTGCTGATTACGAACTTCAAATATAGTACGTACATTTGTGCTCATGTAGTTCTACCTGCCTTAAATAATTATTACTACATCAATTCGGATACTTCTAATTACCATGGAAACTTATAATCTAAAGGAAGACGGAGTCAATGCACCTGTATTACTGTGAGTGGTTCTGAACCTTCTGGCCCGGTTCAGTTCAACAGTCAATGACCTCATGGAATGATGGCGTGTTTTCGTTTGGCTATCTATAGCTTTTTTCCAACCCACCACATTACGTATCATGTAAATGATGCTTCGGAATCACAGATACCAAGCACTGTATTCGAATACATTTACCAAACATTAACTAAACACTGATTGCACTAGTTATCCCGAAAGTTGCATCAGGATTCCGATCCTGTTGGTCAGTCTGCCTATAGATTTATTTAATAAAGCGATACATAGAAAACATAAAACGATATTGCGGTGCCGAGTTGTGAAATTAGTTTAACTGTGACACACTGCTGTTATGAATGAATACATTACACTAATATTATTACACATCCGCATAAAAAATAGTAAACCTCACTTAGTTGAAGAGACATAAAACAAGGTGACTAATGTGGAAAGTACATTACCTGCAGTGTAAAGAGTTGTTTTTTATTCTGAACAATTGCTTCATACAGTGTCCTGTTTGTAGATGAAATGTTTGTTTCACGTCCGAACGTTTGCAATTCATCCAAAATCGAATTAATAGTTACGAGATTCTCTCTAATTCTAGTTTGGTAACAATCTAGTTTTTCTCGACAAGATTTCGTATTATTGATTCCTTTGCTAATGTTTTCAATTTCAACAATCAGTTCTTTCGTTTTCGTATCCAATGATACAATGGTCTCTAACTTGTGGTTAACTGACAGACGTGACATCTAAAAGAATTTAAATCAAAACTTGTTACCGTGGCAACCACCTTACAAAGATTTGTTAGAACTGGAATCGAATGCACACTCAAACGCAATTAATTCGCCAGTACAAAGTTATTTGTAACAGTCACGGGTGTAATTCGTTAATGGAGAATCTCACTAATCATATATATCATTGTTTAATAACAAATGAATGTTAAATAAATTATTATGACGATTTTCATTTTTTAGTTTGTTCACTAGATACTTGAGTATGATTCAAGCTCGAAGTGTGAAGGCTAATGATACTATCCGGTGGCTGAAGTCGAAGCGGGCCGATCGGGATTCGAACCAAGGCTTAGCGGTTGGGAGCTGTATCCACTAACGACTAGGTCACCGTACCAGAGTAAATTACCAAAAACAGTGTTAAAGGAAAGCGTTATTATGTGAGGAATAGCTGTGGAACATGGTTATCCAAATTGGGAAAAAATTCAAGCATGACTTAGGTGAAAAGAACATTGAGTTATGCGTGTAATATCCAAAAAACAGAACAGTAAATGCTATTTGGATCACTATAGCCGACGTTATATATCACAGTAAAACCAACATAAAATACTCAATAAACATACAAAAACAAAAATTTCGATAACTCAATGAGAAGACAGAGTTAATCTGGAAAATGTGATGTATTTGCGCCATACATTCCGAATAATCTGGTCACACATATACTTACCAAGGCATTTTATATGAAAATTAATAAAAGTCAATTAAATGAAGGTCCAAGTAAGCAAAGTAACAAAAGAGAAAATTAACATCGTATAGAAAGAATGAGAAATTGTCACAATACCATAAGTTATAAAATGGCTTAAGAATTACCAGAGTAAATTCAAGGTTGCGACTTGTTTTTGTACACACAAGGAAGTTTTAATTTACGAATACATGAGGCCTCTATAAACCAGAGAATTCGTCCTTAAAAATTTCCTCATTGTGCATGCCGAAATTTCTGATTTATTGACAGATGCTCAATTCGAAAATCCCTATGATCAACTGAACCCTCTGGTCCAAATAGCACTAGATAAGTGAGATTGGTTGATATTGTCCACCAATTTTACGGTTCTCAAATCAGATACAAGAGTATTTTGACTTCTAAACATTTCGCTGCTTTAAAAAACCTCCAAAGTAAATCAAACATCGTGATCCTCAAACCTGACAAAGGTTCTCGGGTTGTTGTTATTAATACATGTGACTATAAGGTAAAACTTTTATCTATACTTGGTTATCAGAGTAAGTTCTTGGAAGACGTTCCATCAAATATTAATGTTAGAAAATTGGAATACAGAGTACAGATCAATCTACCGAAGCTCCTTAGAATGAATGTCATAAACAAAAAAGATCTTAATATGCTGAAACCTTCCGGCTCTGTTCTCTCGAGTTTATATGAATTGTCTAAAATTCATAAACCCAATAATCCATCACGACCAATATTATATATATGTGGTTCACGTAAACATGAACTAGCAGATTGGCTAGTGAAGCTGCTAAACCTAATTCGTAATAAACTATGCGAGTTTTCTTTAAAAGATACATTTGAACTAATTGATCTTCTTGAGGACATTAATTAGTATTATAATACTAAAGATAAGACTTTGCATTCTTTTGATGTAAACTTTCTTTTTACAAACGTACCGTTAACTAAGACTGCTGGTTTCCTTTGTGAGCATATATCTAATAATTCCTCTCTTTTCCTATTCGGTCAACACTTGAAAAAACTACTTTTATTATGTACTGCAAATGTTCAGTTCACGCGCGATGTCTTTGGTCTGCTGAATAAGCTTGATATAGGCAAATCCATGGGGCAATGCACCCTGTGGCATCTTCACTGTCTAACAAACTTATTAATGGCTTGTGAAAGCTGGTGCTCCCTTAAGGACCAAAAGTTACCTATAGACGTAGTCTACATTGACTTCAGCAAAGCGTTTGACAAAGTTCCACACAACCAGCTGTTACATAAGTTAAGAAATGTCGGAGTTGGGGCAATCTATTGATGTGGATAAAATACTTCCTAGTTGGGCGCCAACAAAGGGTATCGGTGAACTCAGTTTTCAAACTGGGAAATTGTACTTAGTGGAGTGCCTCAGGGTACAGTTTTGAGGCCGATGTATTCCTCTTGTGTGTAAATGCTTTTCTTCGTCTACTATCATCATTGTTCTTGCTATATGCTAATGATATCAAGATATGAAGAGCGAAACGAAGTAAGGGTGATAGCTTAGAACTCCAAAACTACCTAAAGAAATTATCTGAATGGTTTCGAACCTGGCAGTTGCCGATAAATACTTCCAAGTGTATTGTGATTCATATCGGTCATCAAGGTATAGATAATAGTACATACACTGAAATATCTGTTGTCCAGACACACAATGACTTGAGAGTCGTCGTTGGTCGAGACTTAAAGACTATTACACACTGCCGTGCAATAGCCGCCAAAGGTTTTGGAACTTTATGGTCAATACATAGGGCCTTTAAACACGTCGATGCGAAAACGTTTTTGACTTTGTGTACAGTGTTCATGTGTTGTAAACTTCAGTACTCCATACAAGCGGCTAGTCCCCGCCAAAAAAAGAGACAGTGAGCTTATGGAAAAGGTTCGGAGAACATCAACTAAGATGATTCCCGGAACACCTAACTCCCGTATGATGCTCGAATGGCCGAGCTAAATCTGTTCCCGTTGTCATATCGAAGAACTAGGAGAGACTTGATTACAGTTTTCAGATTTCGTTGTGATAAATTTACCACAGATATGGCCTCATTTTTTGTCTTCCAAAACAAAGAATTTACGAGGACTCCAAAAAAGTTCAAAAGCCCAGGACAAATTACTTGTCAACTGACTATCGACTTTCCCATCGAATCATCAACGAGTAGAATTCACTACCTCAGCACGTGATTGAGGCTTCAGCCATCGACTCTTTCGAAAGGAAGTTGGATCGGCTGAGAAATCATCACTGCCAGGACTATCAGGCCACCAAACCTCTCTTCCTTTCCAAACTGAAACTGAAACCCACGTATTTCAATTTGTTACACACTTTTCGGCTAAAACTTAAACATTATTGGACTAAATATGTTGTCGACTGCGTACTCTAGTTGCTTTTTACAGAATGAGCCCATTTTTGACGTGCTTTTCGGCGACAAATATGTTGATGAAATTCGGGGGAGGAAATTTGGGGAAACATATTATCCAGCAATGGCCACCTGTTCCTCCGAGAAAGGTAAGAAATGGAATGGAATTACTGTGTTGGAGAGACTCTAATTTATGGACGAGCCAATCAGAAGCGTTTGAGAGATTTCAAGGTCACAGTGCCAACTTCTGTGCTTAATGCCAATGTACAATCGGTTCACAGGGAATTTTGTACAAAACGTAATAATTGAGCGGCTATAACAAATAAAGCGGCGGGACTATAATTTGTGGACGAACCAATCAGGTACAAGATAATACATCTTGGATTTTAGCGCGGAAGCCTTTCATCCATTTAAATAAATTTTTGGGATTATAGCTAATGTCAGTTCGTGATGAAAGCCCTATATATAATTCCCAACTAAGGCAAATTACGATAATTATTGCGAACTGGATAATAAAAGCACCAGTAGCACAGGCTGCAGCCAGGTACTACAACCTACACGGACGGCTGGAGAGCGTACAGACTACTACAAGTGTTATTTTGTGTACTTAACAACCGGAGTGCACATAAACAATATTGAAGCTACGTGGTCGAAACTGAAAGCGTTTTTGAGACTTTATCATGAGTGCAGAGGCCGGCTATTCCGTAGCCATACAGGTGATTTTCTCTACTGCATGCATTACGATTTTAGAACCTCTGAACCTCTTTCGAACCTTGACAAGTTTTTGAACCACGTATAAGAAGTGTATCCATTTTATTTCCTTGGTTTTGTATAACATATTTTTACTCTATACTGACTGTTTGCTGACTGGCTAATATTTCTCAAGCTTACTTAAGATTCGTTCAAAGGTCATCCACAAGTTATAGTCTCGCCTCATTTTCACTAGGTTGATTTACTGGGAGATTTGGTTTGAATAAGTCAAACTGTGGCTCATATATAGGGGAATTGTGGGCATTTACATCATATTTCCTGGATAAAATCTGAAAGTCATATCGTACTCACTAACTAAAGAGCCACAATCTGCTAAAACTAGTCAAAGACTCAGCAGTACTCTTTATTGGTGGTTGCGCACTTGAAGGCTAGTTAAGAAAGTCACTTACACGTTTCAATCTATATGAACGGCAAATTTAAACCAATTTCACACTTCATAAGTCAATTCAATGAATTTCCATAGCTTTTATATGATAAAGTGGTTTTTTGTTTAAATCATTAAGTATTTGTTGCATCAAAAGCATATTCGGTCTACTTTGACTCGAATTATTACGGTTAAAGTTTGACAGTTTCTTAAGATCCGTTTTGAGGCACTCCTTTTTTTAGTTGGTTCTTATGTATATTATTGTGTATATTATTGAATGTTTTCTCATTAAATCTGTTTAAAGTGGTCGGCTGCACCTATGAGTGTGGATAACCAAATCGTTTCTTCCTTGTGGGGGAAAGAGTGGTATGCAATGAGTGTTGTAGATTGATAGCGTGGATTATCCGTGTTCAATGAATGGGGCATACTCGAGTTAAACGGGGATGGTATGACCAACCATATAACATCGAAGTCACACCTCACGGTTAGTAACTAGCGTAAATGATCCTTTCATCTCATCCAGGCACCATGGTCACCCTGATGGCCGTACAACGCAATAAGACGTTATTTAAAAAGCGTATTAGTAAGAGTAGGGGTAAGGAAGAGAATAAGATCACTGCTGTATGGACCGATTCATGTGCCTGATGATCGTTAATTGTCATTGACTTTGATGTGGGTAGTTGAACTGTTTAATACTCACTGACTTGACTCCCGGATGATTTGGCTAGGGTCAAGTGACGTTCCGCTGACCACACAGTACCAAAAGTGGTTCTATCAGCTGATTGCCCGTCTAATTTCCCACCGCTTACAAAAGATGCTCCGAGCCTAACTACCATTGGCTTCGCATATTTTGCTCTTTGAGTGATACATTGTTGGTGAAGAAGACGGCGGGTCTTTTGAAACTGACCAACAAGAAAGTTGATGATGTCTGTACAAGTAACTTGAATACTGGCAGCGAAAAATGCGCCAGCGTAGTATGTGATGTCAATGAGCCAAACACCCTTCTGAGAAACAGGAGAAGATGAAATCTCCTCTGAAACAAACAAGGAGTGAATTATCATTAGATATTGTTGGTTGCGATTCGAGAGTAGTGTATGAAGACCTAAGTAAAAACGTCACTGTACATAGCAGTCCAAATGTGACTGTCACGATTGACGAGAAGTGGAAGACAGTGCTGAGACAATGAAAAAAAGACACGATCAACATAGGCTTAAGTGGTAAGCCTTTTACAGGACTCCATTTTGAGTCATGAAATACACCGCCAAGGCACGTCTGTACGTAACCCTAGTGTGGCTAGGAAAAAACTTGATGTCATACAATATTATTGCGAATAATTTGGCAAAACTAAATAACCATGAAAATTAGACTCGCGCATGCTTTGTACAAAGTTACAGGATTTATTCGTAGCATCTTACCAGATAAATATTTAGAAGCTCATATAAAAATGTTAAGAATGAATAAGAGGACCGAAAAAGTAATGGACTTAGATCATATAAACTCCTCAGGGTAATCCTAGGGTCGGCAAAACAATAAAATCACTTGTCAACTAGTGCTCGAAGTCACAATAAGACCAACATTCGACTAAGACCTGATATGTCTGTAAAAGAAAGAATAAAAAGGAAGATTTCGACTAGACAAATGTTTTCACAGCGCCAGCAAATCGCTACCATGATGTCTTTTAATTCATGTTTAGTGCTTGGCGAATAAAAAGAAATAATACAACTGGTGGCGTAGATTTTGAAAATAAATAAGCCGGTGATTTTGGAGTTAATGTTGTCAATATTAGCAGTAAGTTCCAAATGTTCCTGAAAGCCGTGTACACGAGAGAGGTTGGACGCTAAATAATTTATTATTCCATAATAACCATTTGTACGTCGGTACTATTTAACAAGAAATTTTCATTTTTCTCCGTTATCTTGAGAACAACTTGTTGGAAAACAAAAGTGAACTCGAGTGTTCGCGCCAGATGATCAGCTAATTTTCCAGAGCAACACAAACTTCATAGAAGTGTAGTGGCATTGAACTATAACCACACAATCCTCAAAGCTGAACACGAGACTACTCGGAAAATAGATATTCAATATTTCACGCGGAGAAATACCTAACGACAGAAAAGGCGGGAACAAGGAATTAAATTAATTGGAGTTGATCGGATGGCATGGCTCGGCCATGCAGGGGTGGTCCTTGTTGAATGTTATCTTATAACTCCCATCCAAATTAAATATATTATTCTTTCTCTAGCCTAGGCTTGTTCTACATCATGTATTGGTGATTGCTACGATACGATGAGTTGGTGTAGACGATGGTATGACTTCTACGTAATATCCTATAGATTAGGCAGTTATATCATGACAAGTCTACAATTTTATGATTAGGTGTATTATTAGCGCAGTACTAATATCATAGTAGACCATAATTTTACAGAAGCAACTCTAAGGGTTGTGCAAATTTAGTTTCGAAGTCGGGGATTCCCGATTTTACATTGTCCATATCATTTGTTTCTGCAAAGGGGCTACTGGTTTTACACTAGGTATCAGAAACAACATAAGAATGTTTCTAAGAAGGTAATTATCTGTAACACTCAGAACATGTTAGACTTACGAAGACGTGTTAGTCTGCCTGCTTGCCAATCCCTGAAGGATAGTATGCTCATTTCAGCGGATCAAATTCTTAGCCTTTCAGGAAATACCATTTTAGTACGAGAGCACTCTAGAAGGTATACCATGTTCACGGATGTCCTGGAATGTAACTACAGTTAACGTATCGGGATTTGAATGAACACGACATGCAGCGTAATGAAGCTATTAACCACATATGAGCAACATGGTAATAATTCACCAGAAATTCTGGTCGATTGCTAACATGGCATTGTATCTAATGTCGATTACTAAATATATCATGTCGTTTAATATTTATAGGGTGGAGCTAGAGAAAGACATTCAAGACAATCATCCTCATTGAATAATTCTAATTCAGTAACCAGGACATTCTCTGGTGAAGTGCACTCACAGAGCATCTATACACTTTGCAATGTTGGATACTGTATTAATGGTATAACGAACAAATTCATCCTTTCTACACATATTTCCGAAGATACATATTGTAAGATTCATTTTTGTATGTTCATATGAGAATATGGAGAAAATTCCTTTACGTTCGTTTTTTCTTGTAACTAGCCAATTGTATTTTCTCTTGCTATTGTCCGTATTTTTCACATTAATTACCAGTTGGACAAAGTATCACTCAGGCATCATTACTTCGACCCGTAAATAAATAAATAAATATTCTCAAATAGCACTAAGTTGCATGTGACATGCCAGTTTACATGCAAGATCAAATTGTTATAGATGATACAGGCTTCACTATATTAGATTACTCAGTTAGTTCGATATTTTACAACTCACATTGGTCAGAAAATCAGGGGGATAACACTTCTCACATATGAATATAAACGGTGTTAGTAAGACTCGAACTGGCATGTTTTACGATGGTTGTGTGGAGACACGCAACTGATGGTTAAGAATGAATCCACAGAAAGTCGAAAGTTCCTAGAAAACACAAATTTATATCCTCCTGAGATATCTGAGGTATCAACGATGATGCAAAAGAAAGTCACATGTTCCACATGTGTTTTCGGTGTCATATCATGAGGATGCTGAGAAGGAGAGTAAAAAGAAAGGATGAGAAGCAGAGCAGACTACGTTCACTACTATTTAAGTAGAGTCGTTTGTGATGAAATAATCGAGGTATGACTACTTAGACTTATTTACTTTTAAGTCGATTTTTAAGCAAGTGCATCTTGATATGTTAGAGACAATGAGCCTACGTATGGTAATGAATGGACAAAGAATTGCATAAATCTTCCTGGATAGTACGTAAGGCATGTTTTTAATTACTTCTATGTCTGGCTTGAGTACTTCAGCTAGAATATTGTCAGGTCCTGCTGCTTTGGTATGTCTGACAGCTATGCTAAATTAT